GGTCATCGCGCACGCCACGGTGACGAGCGAGCGCTTCAGAAGGCGAACACGAGGGTGCCGTCCATGCTGGTACAGAGAGGGGCTTTTCCGGCTCCCCAGCGTTCGAAGAAGACGCCCTGCACGTCACCGACACGTGTGTGTGTCCCCAATATATTGCTGTAAAAAAATTGCTATGCTATATAAATAAAAACAACAATTTGCTAAACCTTGGCCACAATATGTGGACTTGTCTTCAAATAAATCAATGCGTAGATTTCTGTTGATATGATTGTGGCTATGGTTGTACTTTAGTAATCCCTAATCTCTGCCATTACATACGATGAAACACGAAATAGTAAACAAGTAAACCCGTAAAAACAAAGTTTTTCACTCTAAATCCTTTATATGCGTGGCGGCTAGAGTCCTCTCGTCCTCTGGCTTGAGATGGCTGCCACCTATGGGTCAGATGATTGTCTGCCAGTATTAAGCAATTGGTAATTACATATTTAATTTGTTTTCCCTAAACAGTATAAAATTTTGGAAAAAAAATTTCACGAAAATTAATTGTCACGCACAACGAGTCTGTGTGCAAATTGTCAGCTCGATTGGATCACGGGAAGTGGGTTAAAAAACGACCGAAAGATATGCACGGTCGTAAGCAAGCAAGCAAGCACGCGAACTTAATATAAAGGATTTAAAAAGAACAAAAACAGAACAATGTAATACAATACACTCTAAGACATTATTGTAAAAAATAAATAAAAAGTCCATCCCATGTGTTAGTGAATTTCTGAATATTTTAGGCAGGAAATGAGTTTTCAAGTTTAGATATTTTTTTAGGTTGGGACCCCCTGGAAGATTTGGTCCCCCCCCAATGTTGACTCCATGGCTACGGCCTTGGCCATAACAAAACAGAAGTTATGTTAAGATATTAAAACACCAAACTGAAACCGTTTGCAAGGAATCGTGTCACTGCATTCACCAGAGCGTGTTTTTTTTAAAATCCTTTATATTAAGTTTGCTTGCTTGCTTGCGTGCTTGCTTGCTTGCTTACGACCGTGCAAACCTTTCGGTCGTTTTTTAACCCACTTCCCGTGATTAAATCGAGCTGACATTTTCCACACAGACTCGTTGTGCGAGACAATTATTGTTCGTGAAGAAAAAATTCCAAAATTTGACACTGTTTAGGGAAAACAAATTAAATATTTAATTACCAATTGTTTAATACTGCAGACAATCATCTGACCCATAGGTGGCAGCCATCTCAAGCCAGAGGACGAGAGGACTCTAGCCGCCACGCATATAAAGGATTTATAGTGAAAAACTTTGTTTTTACGGGTTTACTTGTTACACTATGAGACCTCCTTTACCAGTGGCAAAATATAGTAGTAGGTTTTTACTCTTTAATCTGGTACAAAACTGACACCTTTATACAAGGCATCATGTTTGCAATACCCACAACACAAGTAGTCAAAATGCAAACAAAAAGAAACAACTCTGATAATGATAATGATATGCACTGTCCTTGAAGTTGATTGGTCCACACCTGAGACAGCTTTTCTTAGAGCCTAGTCTCCATTGGTGTTGGACCAGATGACACCAAAAGGCGTACAACTCAAAAACAGTGCACTATCAGAGTATTGAGAGCTCGGGGTAAGCATTTACATTATATTATTATCATTATCAGAGTTGTTTCTTGTTGTTTGCATTTTGACTACTTGTGTTGTGATTATTGCAAACATGATGCCTTGTATAAAGGTGTCAGTTTTGTACCAGTTTTAAGGGTAAACACCTACTACTATATTTTGCCACTGGTAAAGGAGATGTCTCATAGTGTAAATGCTTACCCCGAGCTCTCAATACTCTGATATTGCACTGTGTTTGAGTTGTACGCCTTCTGGTGTCATCTGGTCCAACACCAATGTGAGACTAGGTTCTAAAGAAAGCCGTCTCGGGTGTGGACCAATCAACTTCAAGGACAGTGCATATTATTATTATCAGAGTTGTTTCTTTTTGTTTGAATTTTGACTACTTGTGTTGTGGTTATTGCAAACATGATGCCTTGTATAAAGGTGTCAGTTTTGTACCAGTTTAAAGGGTAAAAACCTACTACTAACGTGTTTTTTTTTGTATGTTCACCACAAGTACCGTGTGTGGACAATGCGGTGACGTGATTCCATGCAAAGGGTTTCAGTTTCGTGTTTTAGCATCTTAACTGACAGGGGTGTGGAACGTCCGGCCCGCGGGCCGTACAAGGCCCGCGAAATCATTGGGTCTGTTCCAGCCATCACATTAGGGGGTGAGCTAATTAAATGTTTGACCAAATTTAACGGGCTAATTTTTAAGTTGATAATTTTGTGTGTCCTGCGAATGATGTTATATAAATATCCAAATGGCCCTTGCCAGAAAAAAGGTTCCCCACCCGACTTAGCACAACCTTTTGATTTAAAGCTTTCGTGACTGCAGGGATTCATATTTTTGGTTCTTTCGGTAAAGTCACGTAGAAGGGAAATAATAAAATATTATAAACATAAAACAATAAAAATTCTCACGACGTTTCGACTGGGGCCGTCCATAAATGACGCCACGCGGTTTTGGACGATTTTTGACCCCCCCCCCCCCTTTCGTCACACGGCGTCACAAAAAGTCAGACCCCCCCCCCCTCAAATATGACGTCACAAAGCTCTGCCCCCCCCCCCCCAAAATAAAACATGCTTCAAATCTATATTTGAAGCTTTCGTGACTGCAAGGATTCATATTCTTAGGTTTTTCGGTAAAGTCACGTAGGTAAAAAAATCTAAATTAATAAAAGTAAAATAAATAAAAAATTAAATAAAAATCACGACGTTGCCTCCGAAACGTCGTGATTTTTATTTTATTTTACTTTTATTAATTTTTATTTTTTTACCTACGTGACTTTACCGAAAAACCTAAGAATATGCTTCAAATCGCTTTAAACTATTGTCCTTGTAGTGCGTATTTAATGTGGCGCTGCACTCTGATGTTGTAGGAGAAAACATTCATTTAAAAGTCTATTTAATTAAGTAGAACGTGTTGTTTATATTCAATTAAAGTTGCGCATTTTTATGTGACGTCACATTCCCCCCCCCCCCCTCTAGGTGCGTGACGTCATTTATGGACGGCCCCATTGCCCGAAACGTCGCCCCCCTCCCCCCCGCCTTTGTAATGTCACGTGTGCTGAGTTCTGCCACTGCCATCACCGAGACCACGTGGCGGCTCGTGCTGATGATGCAGCTTTGTTTGTAAACACGGAGCTCATTAATTATTCATGACGTAGGAGGGAGGGGGAGGGGGGCGTGTCTACGCGCGCGTTCTGACCAATGAGCGCCCTCGGTCACTTCAACACCCCCACCCCTCCCCCCCCACATCTCATTAACATAACTCCTCCCCCCCACCCAGCCAAGACGGTCACGTCACCGGGGATCGAACCCCCCCTTACCTCAGATGTTGCGGTGACGTCACCGTCTCTTGGGGGTTTTTTTATGAATATTAATTAGCGCGTGCTGGTAGTGACGTCACCCTCGTAAATATTAATTAGGCGGGAAATATTAATTCTTTAGAAACGGGCGTTTAGATTATTTAGCATTACTGCAATAAATGTCCGCACGTTAAGTCGCTTCTGAAAAATAAGTTCATGAGATTAAAATCGCAGTGTTTATTTGTACATATGCTTGTTTAAAAAAATAAAATTTAAATAATAAGTTGCTTTTATTATTTTAAATTTATTCTTTAAATTGTATTTTTTTATTTTATTTTTTTGTATTTATATATTTTTTAATTTTCTATTTACGTGACTTCACCGAAAATAAACCAAGAATATGAATTCCTGCAGTCACCAAAATTTAAAGTCAAACATTTATTTGCCGATAATTTCACTGATGCAAAATGAATATTCATGAGGTGGGCGGGGCTTCGCGTGGTGACGTCACCGCGTAGCGGCCTATACTGAATATTAATTAGGGGGGAGGGGCTTCACGGCGGCGGGTGGGGAGGGGTGGGGGGGAGATGACGTCACCACACAACGCGGCCCACCGCTTTGCAAACCGCACAACGGATAAGCCTCGGGCGGCGGCGCGCGCGATCCGATTGGCCGCGCGCGCTCAGCCAATCCGCACTAAGAAATACAAAACTCCCCCCCGCCCCGCCTAACGGCCCCTCCCCCCAACTCACCCTCGCCCCGCCCCCTCCTAACGGCCCCTCCCCACCAACTCACCCTCGCCCCGCCCCCTCCTAGCGGCCCCTCCCCACCAACTCACCCTCGCCCCGCCCCCTCCTAGCGGCCCCTCCCCACCAACTCACCCTCGCCCCGCCCCCTCCTAACGGCCCCTCCCCCCAACTCACCCTCGCCGCGCCCCCTCCTAACGGCCCCTCCCCACCAACTCACCTCGCCCCGCCCCCTCCTAGCGGCCCCTCCCCACCAACTCACCCTCGCCCCGCCCCCCCCAACTCCCCCCAGCCCCGCCCCCTCCCTCAACATCCCCCCCCCCACACAAAATGGCCGCCCTTGTTTACGAGTCGCGTTGGCGTCTCGTTTGAGCGGGAGAGGCGGGCTGCTGGCGGCTGACGGAGGCGACGTTTCGGCTCCCGATCCTTTCGCGGGGGCGGCTCGCTCAACACCTCGGCGGGGTGGGGGTCGGGGTCGGGGCCGGGGCCGGATCGGGGGTTTGAAGGCGGCTGAGCGCTCGCGACGCGATGGAGGCTTCGCGAGGCCTACTCGCAACGTCTGGGCAACAGCAGCTGCAGCAGGAGGAGGAGGGAGATGGTGGTGGAGCTGGTGATGGAGTAGAGGTGGTGGTGGAGGTGGTGGTGGAGGTGGTGATGGAGTAGGAGGTGGTGGAGGAGCTGGTGGTGGTGGTAGTGGTGGTGGTGGTGGAGCTGGTGGTGGTGATGGAGTAGGAGGTGGTGGAGGAGCTGGTGATGGAGTAGGAGGTGGTGGTGGTGGAGCTGGTGGTGGTGGAGGAGGTGGTGGTGGTGGTGGTGGAGCTGGTGGTGGTGCAGGAGCTGGTGGTGGTGGTGGAGGAGCTGGTGGTGCAGGAGCTGGTGGTGATGGAGGTGGTGATGGAGGTGGTGGTAGTAGTGGTGGTGGAGGAGGTGGTGGTGGTGGAGGTGGTGGTGGAAGAGGTGGTGGTGATGAAGCAGCTGGTGGTGGTGGTGGAGGAGGAGGTGATGGAGGAGAGGTCCGTGGTCCCGTCTCCAACTCGGACGCAGACTTCTTCGCCCCACAGGCGCGTCCCCGGTCGTGCACGTGGCCGCTGCGACGACCCGAGGCCGACGAGACGGAGGAGACGTCACTCGAGTCGCCGGCGGCCGAAGACGACGACGATGTGGACGATGTGGACGATGTGGAGGTGGACGAAGATGATGACGAAGACGACGACGATAATAATGGCACCCCCAAGCTCCAGATGATGATAACGACCGTCTTGCCGCCAGCGTCTTCTTCCTCACCACCCTCTCGGCTTCCTCAGCCTCCTCCTGCCACTGCTGCCCCTGGTCCTGGAGTCGAACCTGGACTGTGTGGAGGTGCAGGAACAGGAGGAGGAGCGGTGGTTTTGATGGTCGTAGCGACACCAGCTAAGGCGGCCGCCGACGTGATGATGATGGGAGCAGTGGAGTCGGTCTCAGCTCCTGGGGGTCTTCTATCACCTCGAGGGCTCCTCCTGTCTGCTGCGGGTCCTGTAGGGTCTGCTGGTGCTTCTGTAGGGTCTGCTGCTGCATCTGTAGGGTCTGCTGCATCTGTAAGGTCTGCTGCATCTGTAGGATCTGCTGCTGCATCTGTAGGGTCTGCTGCTGCATCTGTAGTGTCTACTGCATCTGTAAGGTCTGCTGCATCTGTAGGACCTGCTGCTGCATCTATAGGGTCTGCTGGTGCATCTGTAGGGTCTACTGCATCTGTAAGGTCTGCTGCATCTGTAGGGTCTGCTGCTGCATCTGTAGGGTCTGCTGCTGCATCTGTAGGGTCTGCTGCTGCATCTGTAGGGTCTGCTGCTGCATCTGTAGGATCTGCTGTTGCATCAGTAGGATCTGCTGTTGCATCAGTAGGATTTGCTGGTGCTCCTGCATCTGTAGGATTTGCTGGTGCTGCCCAATCTGTAGGATCTGCGTCCGTACTGCCCGCGTCCCTGGCCTCACTGGGTTCAGCGGGTGCCACCGGACCAGTGGGTTCAGCGGTGGCACCAGCGGCGGCTGGATCTGCGGGTGCCACCGTAACCCTTGGCACCGTCACCCCCGGCACCGCCGTGTCGCCGGGCCTGGCGGCGGCGGTGGTGGCGGTGCCACCGCGCAAGACGTCTTCGAGACGCAACGCGTGGGGGAACCTGTCGTACGCGGAGCTGATCACGCACGCCATCGAGAGCACGCCCGACCGGAGGCTCACGCTGGCGCAGATCTACGAGTGGATGGTGCGGAGCGTGCCCTACTTCCGCGACAAGGGCGAGAGCAACAGCTCGGCCGGGTGGAAGGTGAGGTTGGTGCGGGCGCTTCGACTTGCGGATGCCCGCACTTGCGGACGGCCCAACTTGCGGATGCCTCGACTTGTGGACGACCGAACTTACAATCGCCTGTACCTACCAACACCCGCACTTACCAACGCCTGACATACGAACGCCCGTACTTACGAACACCCGCACTTACAAACAACCGTACTTATGAACACACACACTAACCCCCTACTTACGAACACCCGTACTTACAAACAACTGTACTTATGAACACACACACTAACCCCGTACTTACGAACGCCCGTACTTACGAACACCCGCACTTACAAACAACTGTACTTATGAACACACACACTAACCCCGTACTTACGAAGACCCGTACTTACGAACGCCCGTACTTACAAACAACAGTACTTATGAACACACACACTTACTAACCCCGTACTTGCGAACACACACTTACTAACACCCCTACTTGCGAACCACCCTTACTTACGAACGCCCGCAATTAGGAACACCCGCACTTACTAAAAGCCATAATTTACAAACACAATTCTTACTAACATCCGCACTTGTGAACACATACACTTACTAACAACCACACTTACAAATGCCCGCACTTATGAACCCCTGTACATATGAACACCCATACTTACGAACACACACACTTACTAACCCCGTGCTTACGAACACCCGTACTTACAAACAACAGTACTTATGAACACACACACTTACTAACCCCGTACTTACGAATACCCGTACTTACAAACAACAGTACTTATGAACACACACACTTACTAACCCCATACTTACGAACAAACACTAACACCCATACTTGCGAACCACCCTTACTTACGAACGCCCGCAATTAGGAACACCCGCACTTACTAAAAAGCCATACTTACAAACACAATTCTTACTAACACCCGCACTTGCGAACACATACACTTACTAACAACCACACTTACAAATGCCCGCATTTATGAACACCTGTACATATGAACACCCATACTTACTAACACAACAACAACAACCGGCATTCGCCACTAAGTGGCGGTGACGTCACCACGACGCTTGTGCCAGGCCATGTGCACCTTGAGGCCACGTGAAGTGTCGAACGCCCGCTGGCAGGAGGTCACGGGGCAGACCCAGGTGCCACGGGTCGACTGACTGAAATGAACACACTTAACACCCGTACTTGCGAACACCTGTACTTATGAACACCCGTACTTGCGAACACACACACTAACACCCGTAATTCCAAACACTCGTACTTATCAACACACACACTTCCAAACACCCGTACTTACGAACACAAACGTACTAACACCCGTACTTATGAACACACAAACTTGCTTAGACTTGTACTTACACACACTTTCGAACACCTGTACTTACGAACACACACACTTACTAACACCCGTACTTACGAACACACCAACAACCGCCATTCGAACACACACTTACTAATACCCGTTCCTGCGAACACACACACTTTCTAACGCCCGTTCTTACGAACGCCCGTACTTACGAACACCCATACTTACGAACCAGCATCCATGAAATATATATCTAGATGTTTTTGAACATCGACTTGAAACGCGAACTGGCATTTGCAAACCGAACCGTGCAACTGTTTTGTTCAGAGGAGCGATCCTCCGCCAAATGTAAATGGATAGTCTTCCTCATGCTGGGAGTGAGTGTGCGCACGTGTGTGAGAAAGTGTTGGGAGCTGGGTCATGTGTGGCTGGGTCATCTGGCCCGCATGCCCCAGTCACCACTTGCCCAAGCAGCTTCTGTTTGGCCCCATAGAAGGGGCTAAACGGGCACGGCACGGGCTAGAGAAGAGATGGAGCTGATGCGGTACGGGAGGATGTGGAGCTGAGTGGACTTGCCGAAGACCGGTACCAGCGGTGCCAAGATCGGCTTCTGTGGAGGAGGCTCTTGAAGGATGCTCCTGGGCAGTGCCAGGCTAGGTGCACCTTGAGGCTACTGGGCAGTTGGAGGCAAGTCGCCCTCCAGCAACAGCGGAGGGCAGTGGAGCGACGCTCACAACAACGAGCGGAGCGCCGGGCGGCTAAAATACAGCTAGCTGCCACAGTAGGGGTACAAGTGGTGCATCAGCCAGTCATCTCAGTCAGCTAGCCCTTGTCACCTGGGTCTGTCCCGTGACCTGTCAGCGAGCCTTCGACACTTCACAAGGCTGTAAAGTGCACCTGGCACATGCACCGTGGTGATGTCACCGTCACTATGTCACCGTCACTTAGTGGTGAATGGCGGTTGTTAGTGTGGGGAGCGGTGGTGTAGCGGTCAGCACTACGCTGCGCTACGAACCCGGCGACCCGTGCTCGATTCTCGCTCACGGCCAACACTAGTGACAATTATCTGAACCTCCCCTAGGTCGACTCAGCCTCAAATGAGTACCTGGCGCGGTGTGTAAAACATCGCCACTGGGGAGACAAAGGCGGCCAGGCGGGGTGCTGGCCACCCACCACCTCGTGTGCCGTGCCGGCCTTCGTAGGTGCTGCTTGCTAACAGCACTTGCCCCTACAGTCTGTTAAGGCTATATGAGGGATCTTTGTTGGGTGGGGGGAGAAGGGTTGGTTAAGTAAGTTGCGATAGAAGTTCAACATACATACACTACAATACGCACTACGCTATATACTACGCTATATAGTGATACACTACACTACTCTACTATACACTACACCATATATCTGAAATGAATTTCATTTATTTATACCAGAGGAATCCGAAGACTATTTTTATCTTACCAGACAAAGCCCACTGAGGTGTTAACTTATGTTTAAAAAGCGACCTGGCCACAAGATGATAGTTCAACAAAGTGGCCTTATAACTTGGAAATTTGTACATAAAAAGGGTTTATTTTGGGTTAGATCTCGTAAATATAAAACGTGTCGTCAAACCCGCCACCACCCGGCATAGCCAATTAGTAAGAGGGTTTGTCATGTAAACAGAACATGGCCAATTCATTACGTTTACAATTATAGTGTAGTGTATAGTGTAGTGTACTAGTACAGCACTAACCGGTTGTGTGGTGGGTAGTAAACTCCCTATAACGTTTATAATTATAGTGTAGTGTATAGTGTAGTGTACTTGTACAGCACTAACCAGTTGTGTGTTGGAGAGGAAACCCACTACAACGTTTACAATTATCGTGTAGTGTATCATGTAGTGTAGTGTACTAGTTCAGCACTAACCGGTTGTGTATTGGAGAGTAAACCCACTACAACGTTTACAATTATCGTGTAGTGTATAGTGTAGTGTATAGTGTAGTGTACTAGTTCAACACTAACCGGTTGTGTGTTGGAGAATAAACCCAACTCAAAACAGCCCACCCCCCAAAAACAAACCATCAGGAATAACATGGGTCCCAAAAGTCTATGTTTTTAAACCTGGGCAAATTCGTAGCAGCCAAACAATCTAAATAATCTAAACGTGGCGAGCGAGAGGCCTTACGGTAATTTGTCAATTCCGGTGTTGCTGGCGTGTTGGCTGCGGTGCGCAGAAAACTAATCATTGTGTGCGTTGGTGACAACGCCGCTCCTGTGTGACCTCGAAAGTTAACGTTCACAAACGGGCAACGGGTCCGGTCATAGGAGTTTATAGTGTGGTGTATAGTGTAGTTTATGTTGTATCGTGTAGTGCATAGTATATAGTGTAGTGTACATGTATAGTGCAGTGTATAGTAGTGTATAGTATCGTGTTTAGTGTAGCGTATAGTTGTGTAGTGTATGGTAGTGTGTCATGCAGTTTGTTGTATCGTGTAGTGTATATGAGTGTATATTGTTGTGTATAGCGCAGTGTATAGTGTAGTGTATTGTGCAGTGTATAGAAGTGTAGTGTTTAGTTTAGTGTATAGTGAAGTGTATAGTATAGTTTTTCAATTTAAAGCTTTCGTGACTGCAGGGATTCATCTTCTTGGTTCTTTCGGTAAAGTCACGTAGAAGGGAAATAATAAAATAATAAAAATAAAACATTATAAAATTATTCTCACGACGTTTCGGCCACAACGCAAGCAGCCGTCCTCAGGTGAAGAACAGGTCTGTCGGAAAGACAGCGTCTGTATAGTATAGTGTATAGAATCGAATAGTATAGTGCAGTGTATAGTTGTGTAGTGTATAGAAGTGTAGTGTATAGTATTGTATAGTGTAGTGTATAGTATTGTGTAGTGTATAGTATTGTATAGTGTAGTGTATAGTGTAGTGTATAGTGTAGTGTATAGTATTGAATAGTGTAGTATAGTAGGTTCTTAAACAGGCGATGGGTTCGGGCACTGGACCCTTCACGGAAGCTGAGAGGCCGCCGTTTACGGGTTTACATGTTAAGGTCACGGCGACGACTGACCCCTTGACCCCTTGTGTTGTTGGGTGACCGTTGCTGCCTGTGCTTTCCGGTCAAGGGTGGGAGGGCTGGTGTCTGCCATATACGCACGTGTGTAGTGTGTATCGTAGTGTATAGTGTAGGGCAGGGGTCGGCAACCAAAATAACAAGAAGAGCCATTTCTTTCCAATTCGGTACAAAATTCAGTATTTCAAGAGCCGCAATGCATCTGAGTACATACGTACTCATCGTCAAGAAGCAGCCCGTAAAGAGCCGCATGCGGCTCCGGAGCCGTAGGTTGCCGACCCCTGGTGTAGGGTATAGTGTAGAATGTAGTGTATAGTGTAGAATGAGTGTACAGTGTAGTGTGTATTGTAGTGTATAGTGTAGTGTGTATTGTGTAGTGTAGAATGTAGTGTATTGTGTAGTGTAGAATGTAGTGTATAGTGTAGTGTGTATTGAAGTGTATAATGTAGTGTTTAGTGTAGTGTGTATTGAAGTGTATAGTGGTATGTCTATTGTAGTGTATATTGAAGTGTGTAGTGTATATTGAAGTGTGTAGAGTGTATTATAGTGTAGTGTGTATCGTAATGTGTATTGTAGTGTATAGTGCAGTGTAATGTGTAGCGTGTATTGTAGTGTATAGTGTAGTGTGTATTCTAGTGTATAGCGTAGTGTATTTCGTAGTGTGTATTGTAGTGTATAGTGTGTGTATGTTAAACTTCTTTCGCACCATACGTAGCCAACCGTGCTAATCGGAGGTGCGTTTGAAGGACAACAAACTAACAGAAGAACAACAATAAGCAGTTATAAAGAAATTAGTTTGTTAATCTGGATGATTTAAAAGTGCATAGCTCCAGTGGCTTCCTAATATCGGAAGGAAGGAGCGTTACAGACGGCCGCAGAAGCGCATCTGAAAGTGCCGCGCGATGATGCGGTGGCCACCGTCTTTTTCGATGGCCAGCCAAAAGTGTAGTGCATAGTGCAGTGTAAAGTAGCGTATGGTGTAGTGTATAGTGCGGTGCAAAGCAGTGTGTAGTGTAGGGTATAGTAGTGTATCGTGTAGTGCAGGGGTCGGCAACCAAAATAACAAGAAGAGCCATTTCTTTCCAATTCGGTACAAAATTCAGTATTTCAAGAGCCGCAATGCATCTGAGTACATACTGTACATACGTACATATCGTCAAGAAGCAGCCCGTAAAGAGCCGCATGCGGCTCCGGAGCCGTAGGTTGCCGACCCCTGGTGTAGTGTATAGTGCGGTGTAAAGCAGTGTATAGGGTATAGTAGTGTATAGTGTAGTGTATAGTGTACGGTGTAGTGTATAGTGTAGTGTATAGTGTGGTGCATAGTATCGTGTAAATGTAGTGTAAAGTGTAGTGTAGTATATAGTGTCGTGCATAGTATCGTATATTGTAGTAAATAATGTAATGTATAGTCGTGTAAAGTAGCGTATGGTGTAGTGTGTAGTATAGTGTATAGTAGTGTATAGTGTAGTGTATATCAGTGTATAGTGTAGGGTATAGTAGTGTATAAAGTAGTGATAGTGTCGTGTGCAGTGTAGTGTATAGTGTAGTGTGCAGTGTAGTGTATAGATTGTAGTGTATAGTGTTGTGTATGGCAGTGTATAGTAGTGTATAATGTAGGGTATAGTAGTGTAGTGTATAAAGTAGTGATAGTGTCGTGTGTAGTGTAGTATGGTGTAGTGTGCAGTGTAGTGTATAGTGTAGTGTATGCATCATCTGGCAGCGCACGACTGCTGATCCAAAAGCCGCTGCGGCGAGGATGACTGGCGGAGTGCCGTGTGATGATGGTTTATAGCTCCGTGATGGGATCGGCAGCGAGGTAGTGTGCGAGTGTGTGGTTAGTTTCTGGCGAGCGCTTCGTGTGATGTAATATAATTACGCGACCTATACATACAGTAGTGTGGCTTCGTTTTATTTATAACCAGGTGAGAAACCCGAGGAGCTTAGATTGTAATCATTTGTAACGTCACTTGGGTTACCAATGTGATAAAAACAAATTCTATAACAATAAAAAATATATGCAAACTATATTTTTGGTTCTTTCGGTAAAGTCACGTAGAAGGGAAATAATAAAAATAAAACAATACAATTCTCACGACGTTTCGATTGCAACACAAGCAATCATCATCAGGTGTGAAAACCACAGCAAGAAAATTTGAAAAATTAACCCGTAAAAACAAAGTTTTTCACTATAAATCCTTTATATGCGTGGCGGCTAGAGTCCTCTCGTCCTCTGGCTTGAGATGGCTGCCACCTATGGGTCAGATGATTGCCTGCCACCATTAAGCAATTGGTAATTAAATATAAAAAAAAAATTCCTAAACAGTGTAAAGTTATGGAAAAAAAATTTCACGGAAATAAATTGTCACGCACAACGAGTCTGTGTGCAAAATGTCAGCTCGATTGGATCACGGGAAGTGGGTTAAAAAACGACCGAAAGATTTGCACGGTCCTAAGCGCGCAAGCAAGCAAGTGAACTTAATATAAAGGATTTTAAAAAGTGGCGGTGGTTTTCACACCTGAGGATGATTGCTTGTGTTGCAATCGAAACGTCGTGATCATTTTATTGTATTTACTTTTGCAGAAGTGAACCCGCCTACCACAAATGATAGCCGCTCAACAAAGTGACCCTCAGCATTTGTACATTTCTAGCAGCAAAATAATGGAGATGTGGGAAGGCCGAGGTGGTTTTTTTTATTTCCCGCCGGATGTGGCTGAACCCGATATCCTGATGGTCCTGAAAGAGTTCAACGTCTTTGTTTGTTTGTCAGATTAATTCGAGGTAGGGTATGAAACAAGAAATGAACCCCAGGCAGGCGCATGTGGCATCCCGTGGGAATGGATTCCTGAATTCCATACCAGAGAGGGTGAGAGAGAGAGCGCAGACAAAAGCTAAGGCGCAGCTCTGCAATGGATTGCTCACTCCAGGGTGACGTTGATTATAAATGTGAAGGGAAAAACCAGAGGACCCGGAGACAAATCCACGCGACCACGGGGAAAGAGAGAGAGAGACGCTGACTCCCAAATATACAGGAGCAGACGTCAGGGTCAGGATCGAACCCATGACCGCCTGTATACCAGGCGAGGTAGTTAACATCTCCTAGCCACTGTGATGATAATGAGAGAGAAAGAGAGACACTCAAACTCCTAATCTACAGCAGCAGGCATCTTCAGGGTCGGGATCGAACCCACGACCTCCTGTATACCAGGCGAGGTGGTTAACATCTCCTAGCCACCGTGATGATGATGATGAGAGAGAGACACGCAAACTCTAAATATACAGCAGCAGGCATCGTCAGGATCGGGATCGAACCCACGACCTCCTGTAAACCAGGCGAGGTTGTTAACATTTCCTCGCCACCGTGATGATGATGAGAGAGAGAGAGAGACGCTGACTCCCAAATATAAAGGAGCAGACGTCAGGGTCGGGTTCGAACCCACGGCCTCCTGTATACCAGGCGAGGTAGTTAACATCTCCCAGCCACCGTGGCGCCATTGCGGTTACAATCATCGCTACAATGCACGATTTGTATGGTGGCCGTTCATGCAGATTGCATCTCACAATCGCTGAGAAGCCACAGGCAAAGCTGGCAGGCAGCAGCAGCCAGGCGATCAGGAGCCAGCACTACCAGGAGTTGCCCCAGCTCTGCTGCCCTCTATATGTTCAGCCGTTTTCAGCTAATCGATGAGCATTTGTCCGTGGGAGGAATCCGGAGCAACCCGGAGAGAAATGCACGCGTGCAAGGGGACAACACTCTATCCCGCGCACATGCAGTATATGGTGTGGTGTGTGTGTAATCTAATCTGTGGGTCTCTGGGTGTGTCTCTATGGGTCTGGGTGTCTGTGGGTCCTCTGTGTGTGTCTCTGTGGGTCTGGGTGTCTGTAGGTCTCTGTGGGTGTCTCAATGGGTCTGGGTGTCTGTGGGAGTCTTTATGGGTCTGGGTGTCTGTGGGTCTCTGCGGGTGTCTCTGGGTCTGGGTGTCTGTGGGTCACCTATGGGTGTCTCTGGGTGTCTGTGGGTTTCTGCGGGTGTCTCTATGGGTCTGGGTGTCTGTGGGTCTCTGCGGGTGTCTCTGGATCTGGGTGTCTGTGGGTCACCTATGGGTGTCTCTGGGTGTCTGTGGGTCTCTGTGGGTGTCTCTGTGGGTCTGGGTGTCTGTGGATCCTCTGTGGGTGTCTCTATGGGTCTGGGTGTCTGTGGGTCCTCTGTGTGTGTCTATGGGTCTGGGTGTCTGTGGGTGTCTGTGCGTCTTTGTGGGTGTCTCAATGGGTCTGGGTGTCTGTGGGTCTCTGTGTGTGTCTCTATGGGTCTGGGTGTCTGTGTGTCTCTATGGGTCTGGGTGTCTGTGGGTCTCTGTGGGTGTCTCTATGGGTCTGGGTGTCTGTGGGTCCTCTGTGTGTGTCTATGGGTCTGGGTGTCTGTGGGTGTCTGTGCGTCTTTGTGGGTGTCTCAATGGGTCTGGGTGTCTGTGGGTCTCTGTGTGTGTCTCTATGGGTCTGGGTGTCTGTGTGTCTCTATGGGTCTGGGTGTCTGTGGGTCTCTGTGGGTGTCTCTGTGGGTCTGGGTGTCTGTGGGTCTGGGTGTCTCTATGGGTCTGGGTGTCTGTGGGTCTCTGTGGGTGTCTCTGGGTGTCTGTGGGTCTCTGTGGGTGTCTCTGTGGGTCTGGGTGTCTGTGGGTCTCTGTGGGTGTCTCTGTGGGTCTAGGTGTCTGTGGGTCTGGGTGTCTCTGGGTGTCTGTGGGTCTCTGTGGGTCTGGGTGTCTGTGGGTCTCTGTGTGTGTATGGGTGTTGAACTTCTTTCGCACCGCACGTAGCCAACCGCGCAATTCGGGAGGTGGCGGGGGAAGGACAACAAACTAAACACAACGACAACAAGAAGCAGTTCTGCCTCCATTACTGTGATAAATTGTGCATTGTAGTGATGAATACAGCTAATTCTCCCTCCCTGTCTCCCTCCCTGTCCCTCGCTGTCTCCCTGCCTCCCTGTCCCTGCCTCCCTGTCCCTCCCGCAGAACTCAATCCGCCACAACCTCTCCCTGCACAGCCGCTTCGTGCGCGTCCAGAACGAGGGGCCCGGCAAGAGCTCCTGGTGGACGGTGAGCGCTCCCGGCGCCTCCGACCCCTCCTCCTCCCTCTCCTCCTCCTCGTCGTCGTCGGCGGCGTCGTCCGCGGCCACGTCCACCTCCTCCATCTCCTCGCCGTCGGGCCCCGGCGGAGCGTCGGCGGCGTCGGCCGCGCTGGCGGCCCGGGCTTCGAAACCCGGGCGCCGTCGGGCGACGTCGATGGACGCCAGCAACGGGAAGTTGGCGCGCAGCCGCAGCAAGGCGGCGCGCAAGAAGGGGGCGGCCGCCACCGTGGCCACCACCACCGCCGCGGCCGCGGCTTCCGCGGGGGTGGTGGGGGGAGCGGCGGCCGCGGGGGGAGCCACTGGAGGGGCGGGGATCCTCTCGTTCTCGCTCGGTGAGTGGCGAGGGCGGTGAGCGGCCGCGATGCTCTTGGTGCCACGTACGCATGTAATGTGTGTACGCTGAACTTGTTTCGCACCGTACGTAGCCAACCGTGCTAATCTGTGGGTCTCTATGGGTCTGGGTGTCTGTGGGTCTCTGTGGGTCTCTGTGGGTCTCTGTGGGTCTCTGTTGGTCTCTCTGGGTCTGGTTGGCTGTGGGTCTCTGTGGGTCTCTGTTGGTCTCTCTGGGTCTGGGTGTCTGTGGGTCTCTGTTGGTCTCTCTGGGTCTGGGTGACTCTGGGTCTCTGTGGGTCTCTGTTGGTCTCTATGGGTCTGGGTGGCTCTGGGTCTCTGGGTCTCTATGGGTCTGGGTCAGAGGTCGCAATCGGGTACCCGATACCCGTACCCTACCCGATACCCGGCTACCCGTACCTGGCCGGGTACGGGTAGCCGTTTGCGACCCTGGTGCGACCGGGTACGGGTAAGAAATCAAAACCCGTTTGCGACCTCTGGTCTGGGTGGCTGTGGGTCTCTGTGTCTGTGTGTGTACGTTGAACTTCTTTCGTACCGTACTTAGCCAACCGTGTTAATCTGTGGGTCTGAGTGGACTTGCCGATGACTGGTATCAGCGAGTGGCGAAAGCACAGCAAGTTGGCACAGTAGGGGGCACAGGTGGTGCATCAGCCACTCATCTCAGTCAGTCGACTCGTGGCACCTGGGTCTGCCCCATGACCTCCTGCCAGCGGGCGTTCGACACTTCACGTGGCCTCAAGTTGCACCTAGCCTGGCACAAGTGTCGTGGTGACGTCACCGCCACTTAGTGGCGACTTGCGGTTGCTATTGTTGTTGTGTACGTTGACCTTCTTTCGCACCGTACGTAGCTCACCGTGCCCACCTGTGGGTCTGTGTGGGTCTGTATGGGCGTGGGTGTCTGTGTGGTAACCGTCTTGGTTCGATGGCCAGCCAGAAGCCGCAGCTATTGCCAGGATGAGGACCGGAGATTGTGGGGTGATCGTGGACTTTGTGCCTCTAACCTGCCTCGGCACCTCACCCCCCACCTCACCTCACCCCCCACCTCACCTCACCCCCCCACCTCACCCCCCCACCTCACCCCCCACCTCACCTCACCCCCCCACCTCACCCAACCCCACGACCTCGTAGACACGGGAGGCCCTGGCCCGCCGGACGATCTGGACGCGTGGACGCAGTTCCGCACGCGCGCCAGCTCGGACGCCAGCACGCTGAGCACGCTGAGCGCGGGGGGCGTGGGGGGCGGTGGAGGAGGGGGGGGCGGAGGGGGAGGGCCCCTCTCCCCGGCGCCCGCCCGCCGCAAGCGCGACTCCTCCGACTTGGACGACGACTACGACGACTACGACGACGACGGCGACTTCGGCGTCGGCGGCTCGCTGTTGCCGGATCTGTCGGCCGTGGACCACCACCACCACCGCCACCACCGCCGCCTCGACGACGAGGAGGAGGAGGGTGGCGGCGGCGGTCGTTGCGACGACGCCGACGACGACGAAGAAGCCATGGTGACGTCCGGCTGCGCCGAGCAGGCCATGGGTTTTGGTGGCTCGCGGGCCGAGGTGGCCGACCACCACCACCGCCGCCACCGCCACCACCACGACGACGACGACCAGCACGGGCTGGGCTTCGGCCTCAACGAGGCCATGATGGACGAGCTGCTCGACTCGCTGAGCCTCTCCCTGCAGCAACAGCAGCAGCAGCAGCAGAACTCGGCGTTGGCCGCGGCGTCACCGCCGCCGCCGCCGTCGTCGTCGTCGCTGGCCGCGGCCATGCTGATGCTGGATGGCGACGACGAGCCGCGGATGAACAAGGCGATGCTCACGCACGCCGACCCGCTCATGTCGCAGGCGACGCCGAACCTCGGCCGCCACCTCCACCTCCACCACCACCAGCAGCAGCTTCACCACCACCACCAGCAGCAACAGCAGCAGCAGAGGCAGCAGCAGCAGCAGCTACTGCTGCTCCACAAGCAGCAGCAGAGGATGGCGGAGCTGGCGGCGTCGGCGTCGTCCCTGCCTACGGCCACGAGCCACCTGGGCAACTCTCTCTCCTCGCCCGCCTTCCACAAGGCAGCCACGGGCCCCTTCTCCTCGTCGCTGCCCAACGGCGACGCGGGCTTCTTGCAGCAGCAGCAGCAGTTGAATCACCACCAGCAGCAGCAGCCGCAGCAGCAGCAGCAGCCGAGGTTCCCTTGCGACCTCGACGTGGAGATGTTCAACGGGAGCCTCGACTGCGACGTCGACTCGATCATCCACAGCGAGCTGCTGCTCGACGGCGCCGGCTTCGAGTTCTCCTTCGACTCGGCGCCGTCGCCCGACGGCTCCTCGCTGGCCGGCGGCAGCGGCGGCGCTCACAAGAACTGGCTCAGCGGCTGAGGGCTGGGGGCACTGGCAGGGCGGGCGGTCAACAAGCCGGCACGGCGACGAAGGCCCGGACCGCGAGATTGCGCCGGCCACAAAAATCGGGGGGGGCGGGGGGGGGCTTGGAATTGGAGGTGGGGGGAGGGGGGTCGGGGGGGGTGGCGGTTGGGGAGGGGGGGGGGCAGGGGGGCCGTGGTTGTCGCGCCGGGGATGTCGGTACTGAACCAACGCTTGACTAGTACGAGGAATGACACGGTGGGGGGGGGGTGGGGGGGCGGTTGGGTGGGTCGTTGGGTGGGTGGGTGGGTTGTCGGGTGGGTTGGTGAGTCGTTAGGTAGGTGGGTGGGTCGTTGGGTTGCTTCCGTTCACTGCCAAATCTCGGAACACGCCCAGCGGCTCGCCCTTAATTCTCTCTAGAGAGGCGTGGCAGCAGCAGCAGCAGCAGCAGTGCCGCTGTTGTTATAAGGACGACGTTACTCACCGCAGAGAAGCGTCGCCACACCACCACTGCCCACTGGCGGCAAAAAACTGTGCCACTCGCCCTCCCCGTATGGCATTGCCGGAGCCCTCGGCACTGCTACAGTTACTCGGTTTGAGTTTTTTTACCCGACGACGTACACACACGTACACACATGTACACACACGTACACACACGCGTACACACACGTGGTGTACACACACACGTACACACACGTACACACGCGTACACACACATGTACACACGCGTACACACACGCGTACACACACGCGTACACACACGCGTACACACACGCGCACACACACGCGTACACACGCGTACACACACATGTACACACACGCGTACACACACACATACACACACACGTACACATGCGTACACACACGCGTACACACACACACACACACGTACACACCCACGTCATTGGAACGGTAAAGGAGTTTGACGGCCGTGCCGCTGCCAGTTGTGGCACAAACCGCACCCCCCCCCCCCCCCCAAATTTCTCGTATCGGTGTGTCGCTTAATTTGGACGGTGACGCGGCGGTGGGTGGACACCCGTGCCGCCCAGGGTTGTGGTTGGGTGGGTGGTTGGATTGGTGGGTGGGCGGGTGGGCAGGCGTCCGGGCGGACGAGCGGTTGGATTGGTGGGTGGTTGGGTGGGCGGGCGGGCAGGCGGGCGGGCAGGCGGGCGGGCGTGTGGGCGGGTGGGTGGGTACAGGTACTCGTCAACTTGATTATTGAAGCACTCCGAGCCTCAGGGGCGCGCCCGTAGTTGGCCTTGTAGATAAGTACGTCGATTAGCAAACTTCGGGCGAATCTGCCGGGTTCTTTTTTAAGTTTCTCCGTGTCCCGGTCGTCGGGCGAACGACTTGCCGAGGGCTTTGCTGTCGGAGGGAATTATGTGGGAGGGACGAGGTGTGTGGGGGGTGGGGGGGGCGGCGATGAGGCGGTAGTCGCCCTTCGCTGTATAGAAATTGCCACCCCCCTACCCTGTATAAGCATTGAACTTTGTTTACTTTAGCGAGGTTGTAATCGCGGTTGGCCGATTGACGGGGGTGGGGGGGGGCGGTTGTTGATGGGGGGGAGGGGGGGCGGTTTATGGGGGGGGGGGGTGAGGAGAGGGGGGTGGTTGGGGGGGGTGTTGACGGGAGGGGGGGGGTTGGTTCCTCTGGGTGACTTCGCTGTCACGCAGGCTGACGCGTGGGTCAGCGGACGCTGTGTGCACGTTGAGCTTCTCTCGCGCCGTACGTAGCCAACCGTGATAATCGGAGGTGCGGCGGAGGGTCGGGTGCGTGGTGGGGGGGGCGGTGTAAGGACAACAAACTAAACACGAAAGAGCAGTTGTAGAGAGTATTTCAATCGACATTTCAAAGTGGATAGCTCCAGTGCCGATGATAGGAAGGTTCTTATTTTGACTTTCTCTTCTGATTCCGGGGCGATGTCTGCGCACCGCACCGGCGGGCGCTTCCTTTTAATGCTGAGCCGACCTAGGGGCTGGCGGCCCAGGAGCCCGGTACGTTTGTGAACGCGCGCCTACTCCGCACGTCGTAACGCGTCTTCAGGCTGGAGTGGCAGAAGCAGCGCTCATTGGCGGCTCGGTTGAATCTCGCTCGTGGCGTGAGCTCTGCTCTGTCGTGTCGATCGGATCCCCCCGGCGTCTGGCGCGCTCGAGGCGGCCAGCGGATGTCGGCGATTTCGTCGGCCGGCACCAGCGTGCGACCGCGCGCACAGATCGTGAGTTTGGAGCTTGTGACGTGAAAGGTCGCGGCGCCCTTGTCCCCCAAAAAAAAAAAACGGTGCCTAGGCTGCACTTTACTTTCCCCGGTACGCGAGTCCGTGCGTTGAACTTCTTTCACACCGTACTGTAGCCAGCCGCGTTCACCGGAGGGGCGGGCGGGCGGGCGAGACTACAAACTAAACAACAACAAACAACGAGAAGCAGCTCTAAAGAAATTAGTTGATCAATGTGGACGGTGACTTGAAAGTGCATCGCAGCTCCCAGCGGCTTCCTAATGTGGTGGCGGTGGAAAAGCTGTGGGGGGGGGTGGATTTGGGAGTTGTGGGGGTGGGGAGGTAGGAGGGATAGTGGGGGTAGGGGGGGGTGAGTCGTCGCTGTGCCAAGGGGGTAACGCGGGAGCTTTGTGCCCCCCCCCACGACCCCGAGACTCGTCGCACGCTGTAAATAAACGGTGGGGGGCAGGGGGGGTGATTTGGGGTTTGGCTTCACGCGGTGGGTCGACACGGGAGAGGGGTACGAGGTGTCTGCGGTACGGTCGGTCGGTCTTCTTAAACGGTGTCTCTGTTGCAGCCCCCATTGCTGATGCTGCTGATGTCGCTGCTGCTCCTGGTGCTGCTGCTGATGCTGCTGCTACCGCTTCTGCCGCTAATGCTGATGCTGATGCTAGTGCCGATGATGCTGATGATGATGCTGATGAGGATGCTGATGAGGATATTGCTGATGCTGCTAATGCTGCTGCTGATGCTGCTGCTAGTGCTGATGATGCTGATGAGGATACTGATGAGGATGCTGTTGAGGATGCTGCTGCTGATGCTGCTGCTGATGCTGCGAAGCCTGTAGGTTTAGTTGTCGGAGCCGGCCGGAGGCGGCCGTCTATTTTTTGGTAATCTGCTGGGTGTCTTGGTGTAACCCAACACACCACCCCCACCCCTCCCACTTGTTCCGTGGTGTTAACGAAAGGTGGGGGGCAGTGACGGGGTGGTCTCCATCAGGGTTGGTAGAGCCGTGGTGTTTCGTTCGCCCCGGGGCGTTTCGTTAGCCCTGGGGCGTTTCGTTAGCCGTGGTGTTTCGTTAGCCCCGGGGGCGTTTCGTTCGCCCTGGGGCGTTTCGATAGTCGTGGAGTTTCGTTAGCCCCGGGGCGTTTCCTTAGCTGGCGTGGCAACCCTGCGGATGAGGCATTGGCCCGGGTGAGAGTTGGAGGCACGTCGTCCTCACTTCGGTAGTTGCCCAAGCCGCCGTCCGGATCGTCCGTTTCCTTCCGAATTATTGTTGTTGTTGTTTACGGATCGCCGTGGGTACGTCTCTTTTTATTATTTTTTCCAAATTTCCCCCGCAGCCAAAAAAGCGATGGGAATCCGGGTCGGGTTTTGCGCGCCCCGCGATGGGAGCCCGCGGTACGCCCAGCAGCGAGCGCCCGCCGGCGTTACCGGCACGCTGGCGCCGCTCCGCTCGTCCGTAGCGAACCTCACTGCCTCCGGCAATGCCCTTTGGCCGTGTCGCCGTGAGGGCCGGGGTAGCGGTAGGGGTGGGGGGCGGTGGGGTGGAGACTTCACTGCCACGCCGCTGATTCATTGTTGTGATTTTTTTATCATCAGCCAGCAGCAGCAGCTTTCAAAATGAGTTAAAGGTACCACACAAAGACACAGATACCCCCCCCTCCGTCCAACCCTCACAGACTGTTGGGGCAAGTGGTGTTAGGTGGGAACGGGTGGGTGGCCATCACTACGCCCGGCCGCCTTTGTCTCCCCCAGTGGCGATGTTTACTGCACACCGCTGCACCAGGTACTAATTTGAGGCTGAGTCGACCTAGGGGAGGAGGCCCAGGACCGTTTCAGATAATCGTCACCGGTGTTGGCCATGAGCGGGAATCGTAGCACGGGCGTAGCGCTAACCGCTGCACCACCGCTCCACACACACAGACAAAAAAGACAAAGATCCCCTTAACAAACTGTTGGGTGGGTGGGTGAGTGGGTCGGTGGGTGGGTCAGTGGTTCGGTGGGTGGGTAGGGTCCCGTTCACCGCTCAATCAGGGAACGGCGTGAACAGCTCAGCGTTCATTTTACTTAGAGAGAGAGGCATAGCAGCGGCAGCAGCAACGCTGTTTTTATCAAGACGTCGGTACTCACAGCAGAGAATCATAGCGGCACGATCGCCGGCGCCGTCACTCTACCGATAGCCGGCGCCAAAAGCTGCCACACGCCACCACCGCCGTGTCCTTGCGGGATCCTCGGTACGCGCAGGTACGTCGTCGGAAGAACCGATGACCAACAGCGGTCGTAAATAAATGAGTTTCTGATTTTAGATTTCAAAGCGCTTAGCTCCCGTGGCTTCCTCACTGCCAGTTGACATGGTGTGGGGGTGGTGGTGGTTGGGGATGGTTGGGGTGGTGTTGTGGGAGTGGTGGTTGGGGTGGTGTGAGAGGGGTGGCCGGGGCTCGCAACACAAACTGTTGTTGGAGATTCATCTCGATTTGACGATCAAAAGAACTGAAACCCTCTGAGGTGCTTTTAAAAATATATATGGAGTGTGTTTGGGTTCATCTCGTCAGCAGGAGGAAAGTCGTTCACGGGCCCCGAGCGGTTTTGGTGACACTCGTCGCAAGATCCATCCTCTCTCTCCCCTCTCTCCTCTCCTTGCTCTCTCCTCTCTCTCCCCTCTCTCTCCTCTCTCGTTTTTCTTATGATCAGAGGAAACAAGAAGAAGATGCTCGGTGTAGTCGGCACTTTGCTTCGTTCATCATTTCGGTTTTTTTCAATGCTTTGCTTTATGTGCCCCCCCTTTTTAAACGAAAGATTTCACAGATACGAGAGCTACCGGCTGAGGCCGTGTAAGACTGCGAGGAGGGCTGGGTGCAGATGCAGCACTTGTCG